TCCGGCGATCAGAGCGTAGAAACAATCAGAGATAATGTGACAGGGCGGAGGCTGACGGTGTTTGAGAGGAGAGTTTATGGGATGCAAGAAGGATGAGGTGAAGGCGTCTGAAACACAACAGGAAGTTAGCTATCGTCCCAAAACAAGGTGGAGCAGCTCAGTGTGTGTGTGTGTCAGCTCATAGAGGAGAGAGAGAGGTACTTAAAAAGACAAGGCATTGTACTAGAAATGGAAAATAAACAATCCAAAATGTAAACATCTCAAAAAGAAATCAAATGGCATTAAAAAAAGTCAGAGTTTATAGATTTGTTTTATATCTTCACAGCCTGCTGCATATTTTCTACTTTTTGATTACATTACATTTAGCTGACGCTTTTATCCAAAGCGACTTACAGTGACCGATTACAGGGACATTCTCCCTGGAGTAACTGAGGACTAACGGCCCGTCCACACAGCAGCGTTAAAAAAATCTTGGAGGTGGGCGTATCTGAAGCTTGGGGATTTTTTGCAAGCAAGGCACCAACAACCAATCACATGAATCTCCCGCCCGCGACATACGAAGCAAACATACACGCGGTTTGATTGGCTAGCGCTTGAACTGTCAGATTTGCATACACGGGATTTGATTGGCTGACGCTTCCACCTCAGCTTCAAAAGTTGAACATTGCTCAACTTTTGAATCCTGAAAATCCTGAAAATCTCCGCTCTGCTTCCCACAATGCAGTTCGGCGAAAAGTGAGGCAAAGTGACGTCACCCCATTCAAAGTGAATGGGCAGAAGCGTTCCAAGATTTTTTTTAACGCTGCTGTGTGGACGGGCCGTCAAAGTTGAGCAATGTTCAACTTTTGAAGCTGAGGTGGAAGCGTCAGCCAATCAAATCCCGTGTACGCAAATCTGACAGTTCTAGCGTCAGCCAATCAAATCCCGTGTATGCTGGGAGAGACATACCGCAGGTCATTTCCTCATATTCCAAAACATGGAGGAGAAATGAGCGGTAGGGAATCACCCGGTGCTTTATGACCAGACCCTATTTACCTACCGGGATACAAACCGGAGGAGCCAGGCATGGAGGGAGGTGGCAGAGACAGTGGTAGGTTTTCGCCTGTTTTGGGGAGTTTATATCCAGTTTACTTCGGGCTTTTTTGCTTCGTATGTCGGGGGCGGGAGATTCATGTGATTGGTTGTTGGTCGCAAAAAAATCCCCAAGCTTCAGATACGCCCACCTCCAAGATTTTTTTAACGCTGCTGTGTGGACGCTCCGTAAGTGCCTTACTCAAGGGCACACTAGTGGTGGTGCTCCTGGCGGGATTTGAACTCACGACCTTCCAATCTCCAGCCCACCTCACTATCCATTAGACCACCACCCCTATGATGCTTTTTTAATTCCACTTTGAGATGTTTAAATTCTGGAATTGTTTATTTTCTACTCTTAAATTTCTACTTATGTGCAATGCTTTGTTTTGTTTCGTTTGCTGCTGCAACGCAAACATTTCCCAATTTGAGATCAATGAAGTGCCTCTGATCTTCTTCTCTCAATAAACTTGAGAAATGAAAGTTAAAAAAAAGTATGTTTATATTAACTCAAGAAGGTTAAGTAAACATGTTTAGTCACATTTAAAAATAAAAGGTTAAATAAACATAATTATGATAAATGTGGTGTGGATAGTTTGGGGCTATTTGGAGAGCACATTTTCAAACACCTTACTTTGTCTCCTTGTGTCCTCCCTCCTTGTCTCCTGCCTCCTCAAAATAAAAGGTTAAATTTAACATGCTTATGATAAAGGAAGTTTGTTGAAGAAAGGTCAACAATTAAAAATGTGGTGTGGATAGTTTCGGGCTGTTTAGAGAGAACAGGGTGCCCCTTCCTCTAATCACCTCATCCTCACTTTGTCTCCTTCCTCCTTGTCTCCTCTCTCCTTGTCTCCTCTCAGAATGTGGAGCTTCCTGACTCGTTCACTGCAGAGCTGAAGGACCAGTTGGAGGGTCTCCTTCAGAGAGACGTCTCCAAGAGGCTGGGCTGCCAGGGGAGAGGGTGAGAGACACACACACACACACACACACACACACACACACACACACACACACACACACACACACACACACACAGTGTGCAGTTGCTTTAGGGCCTCATACAGTATAGCCCTTAAGGTGCCCCCCGCACCTCCACACAGAGCCCCCCACATATCAAATCCCAACTTAACCCCTGCTCACACTCGCACTCTCACACACACACACACACACACACACACACACACACACACACACACACACACACACACACTGAGACCCACAGACACACACACTCACTACTCACACACACACTCACTACTCACACACACACTCACACACACTCACACTAACACACACTCACACTAACACACACACCCACTCACACACTCACACTAACACACACACCCACTCACACACACACCAACACACACTAACACCCACTCACACACACACACCAACACACATCGCACGCATCAGTCAGAAGGATCCC